AACACATATAGACTTACCTGTTGAAATATTTTGTTGACTACTTGCCACTGACATGAAAGTTGCCCCTGCAAATTTTGTATCATTTTCATTATCAATTACAGCAAAAGTTGCCAATGCTTGATGAAATTAATATCAAGATGTAATTTTTTATGACAGAAAGGTATTCCAACAGAAAAAAAAACTTTACTACATGATCAAAATCACATGCAATATTTTCAAAATGACAGGTTGTCTTTGTCATTTTTTGAACTAATTCTGCATTAAGCTGTGCATTTGACTGGTGCAAGCAAAGCAGAGATACATCTCATTTATTTGTTTATTACTTTGTGTATTTATTTATTCAGCAGTGAGAATCTTACTCCCTGCCCGAGGGCTGAAGATGAGTCACCCCCACTCAAGTTAACAAGGAGGAGGAACATGTCCGAATCTGACAAACTGGACAGGGCCAGGAAGTACAAAACTGGGTGAGATCTTGTTAGTTTATAAACCTCCTCACTGATCACCAAAATATACTTCACCCAGCTTTTGTTTGTTCCAGTTTGGTCTTAAATTCCAATCTCATATAATTGATAATGATAGTCATCATCATTATCACTGACAAAAAGATTTGTTTTTAAAGCAAAGCTCTACACGTTTTCAGCAGTGTGTACATTAAAGGGAAAAAAATTAAACTTTAAAACATACCATCTTGAATTAATGAACTTAAAAGTTGTCCTACAATATTAACAATGTCTCTTTCTTTATCTGGAAATATGTTAAGGATTTTGCCTTAAGAACCCTGCAGAAGTTTATTAATTAAAAAATGGGAATGTTATATGTATGCATTTGAATTAAACAAATTGTTGCATTCATCTCGTGTAGTGTAGTAGACTTCACATATAACACACTGGTTGGAACAGACTGTTTTGGTCTGTTATATGTGAAGTCTGCTAACTCTAAATGGAAGTGGGACTTCCATATTTGGAACATTATATTCAGTGCCTAGTTTTCTAAATTTTTTTTTGGCATTGTTTTTTTTTTTTTTTTTTTTTTCTTGTAGGCGTTGGTAGGAAGTCTTTGTTTATTCTCCTTCATTTTTTGCAGATGTCATTTTGCTTCAATTGTATGTTTGCAAATTTCTAGTACGTTTGACCTGGAAGCTCAGATCGCTAGTTTACCAGCCTGCTCCATTGATGATCTCAGCCGACGAAGGTCTAAGTCATTCTCACTTCGAAAACGCCACCACAGTGAAGGCAGTAAACGCCACTCTTATGGAGAACTTACAATAGGTAAACATGAGCAAGTTCTGCTTTCCTGAAACAATTGTGAGAGTCATGCCTTTGCTGTAAAGAAAAAAGACACATGCATATCTAAGATTTTTACTGTATAAATATTGAGAATAGGTGACATCAAACATCATCAAGAAACTTTGCCAATTAGACTTAATTGTAAGTCCATTAATAGATTAAAAAACTTTGTTGATGTAAAACTTGATAAAATGACTGACCTACATAATATTATTATATTAGGTCTTCATTCACAAAATTGATCAATTTATTCCATACTGAAGGAAAAATTCATGTTTATATAGGAAGAGAAATGACAACATATTTTTGTGTGTTCTTTTTCGTATTGTTTTCAAATATTGTTGTTGGTACATATCTTAGGATGCCCCTTAAACTTTCACCTACTGCTTATGAGTTACCATTTCTTTGTAATATTTAGGCACCTTTAAATCTGTTGCCCTTCAGAACGTGCCTCGAGTCTTTGCGATGTGAAGATCTCAACATTTGCTGGAGGTCGTCTTGAACCAGTGGCTCCATCTTCTTTGGTGGGCAGTCAGAAGCGCAAGGCCAGGAAGACTTCTATCACACACTTAGTGCCATTTGGTCAAACAGAGGAAGAGGAAAGGGAAAAAGAAACCGGTAGATGTTTTTATTCAATATGAATGTAAAGTTTTTATATACACACACTACAAGTGTCGCTGTAAAACATGGCTAATGTCATGTGCTTTTTGCTTCAGAAGCATTGTGAAATCCTGTAGATAAGAGAGACAGTAATTTTAATCCCCTCAAATGGGCTATATTTATGAATAGCAATTCCTTAAGCAAAATAACTACTTTGATTGCTTAGTTAATGAAATGCTGTTTGTTGTATTTATTACTAGACTAGTACAACAAGACATGCAATGCCTAGGTGGAGTAACCCCTGTTTGTGTTTGTATAATTGTGATTTAAATGTGTATAAACTTCTTTTATTAAAAATTCATGAAAATTGATAAAAATTATTCATTTTATTTCCCAGGGCTGACAAGTATATCGTGCAATCCCAACCAGTCCATTCTCAAGGTCCCAGGTGCTGGGTTACTGCGTCCTGGTGCTGCACCATTGGTGGCTATTCCTGGCGCTAACGAGTGAGTCATATCATAGTAACTTTTTATGCACAAGTAGGCCATATTCTGGTGCTTTTTGGTACAAGAAAATTGTTTTAAATGATTCCCCTGTAGACTAAGCAAGGGGAGGTAAAATCGAGCAAATTTCATTCAACTTACATCTGCTATACAATTCTTGAACTAACCACTTCCTCCAAATTCTTGGAAGTGAGTCATTACCTACGATTGCCATTCAGAAGTCTCCTCTTTGTAATGTTTTGTAAATGCAACGTGGTTTTCAACAGATAACTTTAGTGAATGATCTTTAAGCTCATTGGAGAAGGGGATGGGATAGGGGGTAGTAGACCAAAACTTATAAGTTACTATGTGGTCTTCACCAATTTTATAAGAAATTACTTTCATGATTTATACATATTTCGCTCTCTTTTCAGCCAGTCACTTCCCTCAGACGATGCTCTTACAAGTAAGCCAGGCAGCTCTGGAGGAGGAAAAGAAGACTTGACCATGGTTAAAATTTCCACGGACATAACTGAGGTTCACTAGTGCAAGGCTAGAAAATGATATCTTCATGCAGAGATAGAGATTGTCGTCACCTACCAGCTGGGGACTAGTCAACTTAATTTTGAAGTATTAGCAGCCTAGTGCAAGGACTTGCGATAAATTTTTTAGTAGCAGGTAGAAATGGGTTGAGTAATTAATGAATTCCTAAAAAAATAACTATAAAACCCGCTGCCTATGAGCCCTTAGGGTATCTGAAACATACCCGTCTGTCAGTAAATGGCCGAAACATTGTCTGACTAACCTCTGGCAGATTTCATTTAGTTTTGTGGCACTCACACTTGCACGATGATCTTGTGCATATTATTTCAATATCCATTTTCCCATTTTAAAAACTTTTTAAACCAATTTTAGATATTTAACACATGAATCTTCAGCATCTTGCCTGGGTGTAGAATGGTCTGCACAGTTTTTGTTCTCAAATTTCAGATCCATTAATCTCTGAAAAAGCATAAAAAGTTTCAGAATAGTGAACTTCTGAGAAATTTGACCTTAGGCCAGTTAGCTTTCATGCAGACCTTTCTCCTCCTGCAATTTTGATCATTTTGAAGGAGAGTTTGCCACACATAAATTCTATAACATGTAGCGGGGGCATGAAGGAATTTCCCCCCTCTGTCTGTGTGTCCATATTTGACAAGGGGTATTTGTCCAGTTCTAGTGGACAGTTCTAGTAGTTTTTAATATAATTGTAAAAATTCGTCAAGTGTATGCAGCAGACTGAGCACTTCCTGTAGACAGTTGGTCACAGGTTAGAACTTTTTTTAGACCAGAGAAAGGGACTTATTATATTTAATCCACAATTATGATAAATTTATTAGAGTTGTAAAATGCTATTCGGCAACATGAAGTAAGCTAGTGAACTGCAAAAGACTTGTATGGCGCATTTGTGAAAAATGCATGATGGTTATAAAAAATGTGAATACGAATTTAATAGAGACACAGTTATGTCTTACTTTATACTGAGTATTATTACTGAATAGCTTAATGCCATTTGAAATGATTAAGACTATTTAAGAAGGCATTTTGTTTTTAACATGAATGGCATTTTGTGCCATTTCAATGGGAATTTTAACTGGAAGGGAGAAAAGTATAATAGTATTTCTAGACAACTCTCATTTTTAAATATTCTAAAATGAATATATGAAAGTAGTAGTTTCATTGTTTGTTGATTGTGTACACCTAGCAGATCATGTAATTGTATTCCTAGTCTTGCTTTCAAGGATCTTCAAGTAGATGTCAGTTTCATTTATTGGGGCTTATTTTGTTTCATTGGCTAATTAAGTGCAAATAGTTTAAGTTTTTGTTAAAATATCAGGTTCATTGCTTACAGTATTTTTCATTTATACACATATAAATAGAGCTGTAATTAAACTATAAACCTAATGTAGATAGATTTTGATTATACCACATCTCCCTTAGCTTTTACCTTAAACATTATCTGTCTTGTTAAAATTTCAATATTTCTACTGATATGTTAATCAGATTATGCAAGAAGAAATTAAGTACTGAAGTGAGCACGAAATTATTGCAGCTTTCTTATGCGTGGCTGGAATAAGGCAAACTTGAGCAAAATACATTGACGTGTTTAGTTCCAGTAACGAGTTTGGAAGCTATAAATATCCTCGATAACAAATAAGGACGCATTCAGAACAAGTTGATCTGCAGACTAACTGATCCCCAGATCAAGTATGGCTCACCCAGTTGAAAACTTGCTGCATAATCCTATAATAGACACTTAATAGATTCCCCATGGGGATTATGCAGTAAGCTTTGAAGTGGTTCAGGGGATCTGTTAGTCCACGGATCAACTTTTGGTTGTGAATGCAGCCTTAGACACAGAAACCCTGTTTTAAACCACTGACCTTAATTGATACTGTACCAAGGTCATAAGATATGAAGACCTGGATAATGTGACCTACATACTTAATCTAGGTCATTGATTAAGCTGAGCGTATTCAATAGTGCCAAGTGTCTGTGTAGTATACATATGTACTGGTAGAAGTTCTCTAAACAAGCAGTGAAAGTCTTTGCCTTCCTCAACATTGAGCAATTAAGCAATTAGCTTGATTTTGGGTAACACTTTGCTTTTGACAAAATTTGTATTTTAGGGCTTTTTCTCTTTTACTGTATAAATAATCATATTATATCTTAAATAAAGATATCTGTCTTCTCATACAAAAAAATATTATTTTAGTTAAAGGAATGAATCGATGATTCATTCAGGCCAGATTATTAATTGAGTCTGTTGCAAATTGGTATATTTATATGAACTTGTGCTTTATCTTGATGGGTGACGCGAGGGAAGTTTGTCACCTCTAATTGCTCTACAGGTGAGATACAGCAACTAAACAATCAATATCAGGATTTTTTCCCTTTTTTTGGGGGGGGGAGGTATCATTATTGGTTTCTAGCATAAGTTTTTAACCAGGTAAAAATCTTTCAAATCTGAGAGCTCAGGAACCAAACTTCTTCTAGACAAATGTCCCACAGAAGACAAAAAAAAACATTGACAAAAGTTCTAATTTCATATTTGTTTGAAATCTAACTGTGGCTCGTGAAGGAGAATTTCGATACCAAATTTGAGTTCTCAGTAGACGCACTGTGCCGTGAGGATGGTATTCAGAGGGGCTCTGTAGACCAGAATTACACATTTACACCCAAAATGTTACTATTACATAATTTGAAGAATTGTGAACATGAATTTTAGTTAAAATATATCTGTGAAATATGCATATTTATGTTTTGGTCATTTTGCTTGATAACAGTGGCATTTTTAATAACTATGAAATGTACCTCCCTCCCCCTTTAAGGCAATGTGATTTTTCTGATTTGTTTTACTGAACTCCTTGAATACGTGTTTTGTTGTCTTTTTATGTATTATTATGTTTATCTTCATGTTATTATCTAGCTCTACTGTAACAGTTTTTAAAACTTGTTCAGTACAAAATATGTGTTATCTGCCTTCAATCACTTGCCCAGGCCATGTGGCTGATTTCATTATTTGTTTATAACTGATTTTTTTTTAAATTTTAAATTTATTTTTATTTTATTATTATTTTTTTAATTTTATTTTTGTGAATTGTAACTTCAGTTATTGTCATTGTTATCATAATGGCTGGCATGCTGCAGACTCAGATAAGAAAAACCCATCCTTTACATATAAAATTGTTCAAGATATGAGTCCTACATCTTCATATGCTTTCAATGGACATCTTACTGTACGCTGTCTTTCTGTAAGGGGATTTTAAAGACTTAGTTTAATGCATGTATATTTTAACTTCTCATTCTAGCTTTATTATGTTTATTTCTGAATTAGTTTATAAGAGTAGTTATAGTGCCAACAGAACTAATGCCAATAAATACTGGCTGCTACAGCTTTTTATCATTATAAAAATTGTTTGTTGGTTTCTTAGAGACCCAATTGATTGTGATTGTTTTGCACGTATCCACGTGCAAATTTCAAAAGTTTCATCATCTAATGGGTTTTGTCGTAGCTTTAAGCATCGTTAACTTCCTATTTGTTTTGCATTTCAAAATCATGCACTGGCCCCCAGAGATTGGGAGGTACCTAGAATTCGACATGAAAAACTAATTAATTAAACATGGTTGAATTTACAAATATGATGCTCCTAGCTCTTTTGATTACGTTGTATTTCTATATTAAACTTCTTAGAAGCGGAAATGCACGTGACCAAGGGGATTTCCCTTTTGCTATTTTTACTTCCTGGTTCCGTTGCTCTCGTCAGGTATGCCTCTAACGGGCCTGTAGTCATGACGCGGTGGACGAGAAAGGATAATCTCCTTCACGAGGGGGGCTTTGGCCCCGATGCAGCATAGCTTTGGGTGACCGGCTATATTATGTTCCTCATTCTTGCAACTGTTTTATCTGGCAGCATCACTTAAAAGTGACGAAGATCACGTCAATGTTAAAACACATTGACATCACCAGAAAAATACTTACAAATGTTGTACCTATAGCATATATAGAACAGGAAGTAAGAGAGAAAAAAATAATATATGAAGGAACAAAAAACTGAATTTGGTGCAGGAAATTCACAGATAATTACTAACATGGGGAAGCTGCCTGTCCTACAGGTCATAGTCCTCTTGACTGGTAAAGTTTATGTGAAACAATATATAATAATAATAATAAATCAAATGTTAACTTAACCTAATGGAAATGAAATGCTTGGTTTGGAACTGAACAAAATTGGGAGGACCTCCAGATGTAATTTCTTGTAGTGGAGGTCTTCTGGACCCTCATTATCTCCATAGTTTCCTCCATGTCTGTAATTAAAAAAGCATGAATAATAAAATGATAGAACAAAAATAGGATACCCAAAATTATTATGATAATAGATGGACACGTCCTCTTATCGCAAACAGAACGTAAACCTAATAAATCTCAAGTTCAAAATAAACAACAACTCATTAGGGCATCTAGCAAATGAAGATAACTAACTTTTGACAACCGAGTCGTATGTCAATGGTGAGCGGGGTTCTTCGAAGCGCGGCGTACGTGACCTCTCGAGATTAAGATAAGTAATAGATATCCGTTTCAGGGCCTTGGTAATGCTGTTTGTTGTATACAAGCGTTGAAAGTCATTAGCCAATCAGGAAGGTGGAAAAATATATTTAATTTGTAATGATTCTTCCTAGTGTGTGACAGTGTTGTGTGAGTGAGAGAGAGAGAGAGAGAGAGAGAGAGAGAGAGGAACGCCTAGCTGAGAGAAGGGAAAGGATTTAACTTTGCTAGCTCCGTGGAAAGCACTTTGCACGCAGCGGTGTCCTACATATCATGTCTTTTTTAACTGAGGTAGGGAATTATGGTGGTAATGTTACAGATATAATCGCATATAGTTATACAACACTGTAGTTGATCTTTATCATATCTGACTATGAGGAGTCACTGGAATAAGCGATGCAAAAATATTATTTTCTCATATAGTCACTTTTTAATGACGTGTATGTTTAGACCTCATTTGCTTCACTGATTTCAGTTTTCTAAGACTTTTAGCTGGACAGGATACAGATAAAGCAAAAATAAAGAGAAAAGAGTTTCCCATGACTTTAAACGGTTTTGACTTTCACGCGAAATCCGGTAACTCTCTAAAATGAAAGTATAAAATGAAACTATGAAATTGTTCGATTTAGCACGTTTTAAATATACACCGGAAATAAGTGAATGGTTTCAAGTTTATCAATGAACTCTTGGCGAAAAATACTCCTTAAAAGCGAAGCCTGATCGCATTTTGATATTTTAATGACTTAATTATGTAAACTAGACTACCTTTTTCATTTCTTCACAGAAATGTGTTTAAGCTCGCCTCGTAGATCGATTTTCATCACATGCGTTATATTAAAGTTGGGTCTATTTACAGCAAGGTCTAAAACAGTTTTTAAAATGTTGTCACGAATGCAGGTACAAATCTGGTTCATTTTGATTCCTCTGTTATTCCTGTTATTCCATGATGTATGGATTTTGTTCATCTATAAAGATAAAATGTCTTTGATACAATAAGGGAAATTTTTCATTTGCTTTAAGCATTTCGAAGCTTTAAACTAATGAATTTTTTTGTGAAGAAATGGCACTGTAGT